GTGCCCCCCCCCCCCCCCCACCCGCCGGCCGTTGGGCTCCCCTCCGCGCTGCCCGGCGGCACCCCCGCCCGCGGCCCCGGTAGCGAGCCGGGCCCTTCGCTGGGGCCGTCGCAACTTGAGGTTTAGCTGCCGGCGCGGCCTCCTGAGGACGCAGGCTTCAAACGGGTGGTTTCAGTCAACAACACGCCTTCTCCCACCCTGTGTTTTGGCGTGTCGCGTCGGGCCTCAGTCCTGGGATTGGATCCAAACGAGTGCCGGGATTTCCATGGCCGTCAGCGGTCCCCGTGGGCTTGCATATATGTGTTTGAAATACAAGCATCAAGTGCTGTTGGGAAGTTTGGATTTTTTTTTATTATGCGTTTATTATACACGTAATGTATGTTAAAAAAAAAAAGAGAAAATGTAATATAGTCTAAATCGACAGGCGACTGTGTTCTTCTTTCTTAGGTATTTGGAAAGAAACTGGGGAGAAGAAATGTGCATTTCTGTATAAGTAGCTGTATTTAGGGTTCTCTGAATCACTAGAGGTAGGCTTTAGGAAGGGAGGAAATGTTACCTCTTCTTAAGGCATTTCTCACAGCGTTTATAGGTTGTACGCTGATAAGTCTTAACACAGTCTGCTCCAGAAACACTTTTCTACACATTGAACCGGATGTCTGTTATATCTATACTTCCTATATCTGAGGTTTTCTTTAGTAAATGTTGGTATAATTTCTTGCAGCTTGTCTGAATTTTCTGAAGCTCTGCAAAGTTAAGTACTACAACTATTGTCTTATTTATAATGTACAGGTGAGTATTCTCAATTCCTTATTTTTTGTTGGTTTAAATTCACAAACATGAAAGCAATATCTTATGTGTTCTGCTTTGTGGCAGAGGGATTTTATTATACAAACCGGTGACCCCATGGGAACTGGCCGTGGAGGGGAATCCATATTTTGGTAAGTAAAACTTTTGTGTTTACTTAATCGACAGGGAAGTTGTATAGGGGAATAGGGGTTCCAATTAGATGGTCTTCAGCTCTCTTGGGGCAGAATTACTGATGGGAAGTAAAAATGTTGATGCATAAACTTCTTTGGTTGTCATACCTAAATAACCTTTGTAATTCCTACGCTGCTTTTGGCTATTCGGATTTTTTTTCTGGACAGTATTCTATCTCTGACCTTAGAAGCAAAGTTACAACTAACAAGTTGTACATACATTTCTGTTTATTTAAAAGCCAGCAAATAACTATAGGTTTGGTTTTGTAAGAGAGGTATCGTAACTAAGTGCTCTGTAGAAGGCAAAATCATTAGCAGTCTGTTACTACTTTTATTTTTGTAACAAAGTGTATTTAATTGAGTGGGAGGGGAATATAGAGGTTATATGTGATTTCCTCTGTGTATAAGAAAGTAATCCTGTTGCTCTAAAAATTTACTTAAGTTCATTTTAGTCATGTTGAGTGTGTAAAGGAAATCACTTTTCTTCCTTGTTTAAGATGTTTTCAGTGGTCATGCACATAAAAGTTGAAGAAATCATGCAGACAGCTAGGATGGAAGTTAGCAAAGTGCGTATGTTCTATATGATTCCTTTGAAACTGTTATTAAAAGTAGAATTAAAATTGCAGGGCAGAACTAAACCTGGAGTGCTGGGGAGCACACTATACAGAGATAAATAGCTCAGTTTGAACAGAGACAGTGTTGCTAGACCAGTATTGACTTCTGTAAGTCTGGTCTATCATAGCCTCTTAAATACAAAACCCTGAAAACCTGGATACATGGATCACCGCTCTGGTGATCCTGGAAGCAATATAATTGTGCTAAGCAGATGCAAGTCCAGGTAGGTAAACTTGCCAGACCTGAGCTGTCTCTGCACACGGGTAGATCAAGTTTATTTTGATATTCTGCTCTTTTTTAAGGATTGGTCTTCTGAGGCTCTTTGGTATGACAGATAGGGAAGTATAGTGTGATGAGATAGTGGCAGGTTCTGTTCCACTACTAGCATGGAGAATGGCAGTTTGTCTTTTCTACCTGTTCATTACTGCTGAAGTCCACGAAATTGGAGTTTCTGCTCTTGCTACCCAGGAAACTGATGCAGGCAAAGTTTAATTTGAATCCTCTCTTCATAGAGGCTTACACCTGCATAGCACAATGAGTTCAAACAGAACACTGTCCTTAAATTTGGGCAAATCTGTGTATTGACCATGCCTCTGTCAGTTATGGAGTGAGACAAAATGAATGATATCAGGGTTAGACTTAAAAAATTAAAAAGAATTTAACAGTTTGCCGTATCCTGTGTATCTCAAATTACTGTATGCAGTCCTGTCTGTGTGATGAACTAAGTTTACACATAGATTTAGTGGCTTTCCATTTATCTTGGAAGAGAAATTTGTGACACAAATTACTACGTTTTTACGGTGTAGATTAACTTATTTTTATGGAACCTGCTTATCAAAATACATATTTGCTTCATGCCTTAAAAAAAAGTTATATACTGTATTTACAAAACATACAAATACACCCCACACCCCCCCCAAAACCTCTGTGAAATGCCTCAGAGAAAAATCTGTTGTTCCCTGTAATATAAAGTGGTGAATTATCTAAGTGTATAGGTCCATAAAAATGTGCATGGATGCAATGTAAATTCTGGTTTTATTTGAATGCCAATGTAAGAACTTTTAAGATGTTTTATTTACTGTTTCACAGCATTTGTTTATCTCACTTTTTAAAATTCCTTTGCCTTGTAACATATTTGTTATATATATTTTCAGTCAACTGTATGGTGATCAAGCTAGATTTTTTGAGGCAGAAAAAGTGCCGAGAATTAAGCACAAGAAAAAGGGAACCGTGTCAATGGTGAACAATGGCAATGATCAGCATGGATCACAGGTCAGCATACAGTATTGGAAAGCCTTGGTACACATCTAAGTAACTAAAATGAAAATTCCTTGAATTTACAAAAGAGGCGTAACAATGACAGTGTCATCTCAATAGCTTCATCTTGCAATATGGTCAAAAGGTGTGTAAAAAAAAGGCCATAGATAAGTATTTTGCATATGTCCCAGGTGCCAATGGGTATTTGATGACAGACAAGAAAGAGATTAAAATGCTCAGATTCAAATCCTGTCCTAGATTAATTTCGTAAATTTTTTTTGTTACAATTCCGTCGTCTGTTTTTTTCCTTTGTTTATTCATTTCTGTTAATACCTTGATGTGATTTTGTGAATTTATAGAATGGACAGGAAAAAATCCTGTAGTTAAATGGAAGTGAAAAATAAGGAAATTGGGTTTAAAATAATCTTAAAACTTTCTGGTTATAACTGCATGTTAGTTTGGAAACAGAAATCATATCACAGTTCCCCCTGTATGGTTACATAAAAGTGTGCATTAATAATACAATGTAAGTTTACAGTTTTATTCCAGTGCTGTTATGAAACAAACTTTGAAAGTGTTGTTGTTCCCTTTGCTGTTCCCTGTTCACGTGCACAAAATTTTTTCTGTAGGTGTATTTAAAGTTCTAATATCATAGAATAATATTATTTCTAAATTACTATTTTAGATGCATTGTCACTTTTATATATTAAAATGCCTCACTTGTAATATCCATATGTTTTAATTTTAAAAAGAGGGTTTTTTTAATAATGGAAGAGTAATTTAAAAAACCTACAGTTTTATTCCAGTTAGAGCTTGTAATATACGGAGTTAATTTTGCTGCTTCCCTGCATTGTATGTATAAAATCGCTTGTTTGGGTGGGGAGTTTAGGAAGAAGAGATGACATTTATATTTACATTTAAGAGTGCAGCCTGCTAGCATATACACAGGCATATGGGAATGAATGCAGTTCCCAGGGACATTATTGCAGCTTCTTCCTTGGGAAAGAAAAATTCCAGTAAGGAATTACATGGAGTTGGCTTACAAATATAATGTAGCTTAGTGTAACCTATACCAAATACTAACCAGTCTTAACTGTGTTGCAGAGAATGAGGAGTGAGATGTTACCAGTCAGATTGTAAAGCATGGATGTAATGGCTGTGTTCTGTTATTTGTGCATATCTGATTCCTCCCCCTTCATTCACTACCAGGCATCTTTGGTACCAAGTGTTCAGCTGGTATCAATTTCCATAGCTTCAGTTTTGCCCTCAAGCAAAACGCCTGATTTGTGTTAGATACATTTCAGTGCCAGTTCAAGCTGATCTAAGTCAATGCTACTGTGTTCTAGTTCTGCTCTCAATGCTACTGCATCCTGTTTTTTGGGAGAGAAGGGTTTGTGATACAAGGGAAGGAAGGAAGAAGTCTGGATAGAAGCAGGTGAAGGTAGAACTTTCACCTGGAAGCTTTTGCCAAAATTGTGAAAATGCACCTGCTGAATGCAGTTTGATGAACAGGTGGTTTGAGCTCAGGTCACAGCTCACTGCTGCCCAGAGGGGTAGCCTTGCTCTTTTTGTCCTCTCCCTTTCATCAGCTGTGATGCCTGTCACATCCTTTGCTGATCTTGCTCAATAAACCTACCTGGCAGATAACTACCTGCTTGTCCTCTGCTGGTCCAGTTTTCTGCCAGGTTACTGAATCATACCAAGTCACAGAAGGGTCCAATGAGCCAGAGCTGCAAGCTTGTATGGAGGGAGACCTGTATGAGGGAGCCTCTCTTCCTCAGGCAGTGGCTGTGAGCTGTAGGTTGGGTCACCATGTTCTCAGAGTTGATAGAAGACGTCTAGTCTTCTCCCGCAGAAGTCAGGAAGAGTTTGTTTTTGTGTTGTGTCTGTCCCCATTCCCCCCCCCCCC